AGTGGGACTGTGTCCTTTCAAGTCTGGCAGGAGATGCACCATTGTTTTGCTATTCTCACATTCTGATCACTTAATCTGAACTATCAACATCCTTTCTTCATCAGCACCCTATATCCACCACCTCCACACTACCCCCCTTAAACTATAGCATAAATGCTGTCCCCTCGACATTTCAATTCAGCTCTAATGAAGAGTCATCTAGACTGAACGTTAGCTTGCTATCTCTCCATGGATGCTCTCTTACCTGCAGTGGTCTCCAGCATTGGTTGTTTTCAGTACAGATTCCAGCATCTGCAGTAATTTTCTCCTACATTATTGTGCCTTTGTCTTTCTCTTTCCTGTCACAATAAAAAATTTGGATATTGCAACACAGAAGGTCTTAAATTAATTTTCTAATAAGACTGTATGCGAATATTTCTGTAAATCCTTTAGGTGAAATCTCATCAGATGGAAGAGGTAATAGTCTACAATTCTCGAATGGTTAACTTTTTGCATATATAATTCAAAGCAAGCCTTGTACATTGTAGATATAATTACATTCTAGATGTTTGCCAGTAATTTGCTTTCTACATTGCAAACATCTCCAACAGTTTAAACAAAATGAATATGGTCTTTACACCCTTTAACCTAAGTTTTTGATTGAATGTGGCATCAAACAGGGCAGAGACCACAAAAATTGGTGCTGCTCCTGGCTTGGGTCATAGACCCTGAACCAATCATGGTGCACCTTCTAGAGCTCCAAGGCCTGATTTCCATAGAACCCCTACAGTGTGGAAACAGGCCATTCGGCCCAACAAGTCCACGTTGACCCTCCGAAGAACATCCCACCCAGACCCATCTCCCTATGCTTTCCCTGTAACCCTACATTTCCTATGGCTAACACACCTAACCCACACATCGCTGAACACTATGGGCAATTTAGCATGGCCAATCCCCCTAGCCTGCACATCTTTGGACTGTGGAAGGAAACCAGAGCACCTGGCAGAAACCCATGCAGACACAGGGAGAATGTCTGTGTGGCATTTGCACAGTTACCCAAGGGTAGACTTGAAGCTGGGTCCTTGGCGCTGTGAGAACAACAGTGCTGACTACTGAGCCACTGTGCCGGTGTTTTGGGGCCAATCAATGGAATGGTTTAGAGGCAAAGTGCAGCCTGGAGAAACCATTGAAGAAGGAGCAAAGAGAGAATCATGTGAGTAGAGCTGTCTGACTGTGGATAGCTTGGAAAAAATCAGATGGATCAAGTTTGAATTTGTGGATAAGATGGAACTACTGGATGTTCACATATTCCTTATGGGTAGTTGTAAAGGGGAACCAATGGAATCGGAAGAGATACATCCACAGTGGTTTGACCTGGACAAAATTCCATTTGTTGAGATGTAATTTGATGACATCTACTAGTTCCCCTTGTTACCTCAGAAGAAGCTGTTCAAGGGTTACTTTAGTTCAAAGGATATACCACTATCCTGGAATACACGCTGGTGGATGGTGGATGAGCTGGAAATGGAGGAGTCCTGATTAAAAAGAAAATTTCAGAATTTTGACCCAGTGCCATTACTGAAAATTAAGTTGCAACAGAATAGTGTGCAACTTGTGAAGAATTTTCAGGTGGTGCTTCTCCTAGGTATCTGCTGCCCTTCCCCTTTTAGATTGTAGAGCTCGCAGCTTTGGAAGGTGTTGTTGAAGAAACCTTGCTGAGTTGCTGCACTGCAGCTTGTACCTGGATGCACTGGTGCCACACTGTGTTGGTAGTGAAAGGTGTGAATGTTACGTTGTTGGTGGATGACATGCCATTCAAGTGGGCCTGCTTTGTTCTGGATCATGTTGAGCTTCTTGAAGCAAGTGGAGAGTATTCTGTCACAATTCTAAGTTGTGCCTTGTAAATGTTGGGTGTAGTTTTGGGACCTGACGTAAACCTCTGTACCAGACCCTGGCATCAAGAAGCCCGAACAAAATTGAAATCAATGCGTAACAGTGGGCAAACTTTCCACAACTGGAGTCATACTTAATATAAAGGAAGTTGATTGTGGTTGTTTAAGAGCAATCATCTGGTCTCCAGAGCATCCCTGCAGGAGTTCCACAGGGTAGTGTCCTAGGCCCGATTATTTCCTCCATGAACTTCCTTCCATTGATGAGATAAAACTTAGGGATGTTCACTGATTGTATAATATTCTGAACAATTTGAGACTCGTTAGATGTAGTATACATACAAAGGCTACGTCAGTAAGGCTTAGACCATATTCCGGCTTGGACTGGTAAACAGGAAGTAACATTTGCACTACATATTTAGCAGGCAATGGCTATCTCCAACAACAGAGGTGCTAACCATCTATCCTTAACACTGAACCATGTTACCGTAGCTGAATCTGTTAAGATCAACATCCTGAGATTTAGCTGGACAAGCCAAATAAATACTGTGACTACAAGGGCAGGTCAGAGGCTGGGAATTCTGCAGCAAATAATTCACCTCCTGAATACCAAAAGCCTACTCACCATCTACAAAGCACAATCAGGAGTGTGACTGAATACTTCCCACTTGCCTGGATAGAGGCAGCTCCAGCAACACTTAGGAATCTAAACACCATCCAGGACAAAGCACCCAGGTATATAGCACTCTTTCCAACACTGACGCACAGTCACAGCAGTGTATACTGTCTACAAGATGCACTGCAGCAACTCACCAACCCCTCAACAGCACTTTCTAAAACTGTGACCTTTGCCACTTGGAAGGATAAAGGCAGCAGATGTATGGGAACACCAATACCTACAGATTCCCCCTCCAAGTTGCCACCTTACTGACTTGTAAAGATATTACCATTCCTTCACTATTATTGGGTTGAAATTTGTAAGTCTCTTCCTAACAGCACAGTGAGTGTACCTACATGAGTTAGACTGCAGTAGTTCCAGAAGGAAGCTCACCATCACCACCTTCAGGGCAATGAGAGATGGGAAACAAATGGCAGTGCCGTGCCGGTGACACTTGTATCCCTCATTTTGTTTTAAATGACTCAGGAAACACCCATTGCAATAATTCTATTCAATAATTGTGAAGTGTTCATTTGATTTCAAATATACATTTTATTCAAATGTATTACACTGAATATTTCTATATGACAACCATGCCCTGATGATGCAGATTGATAACACTGAACAGTAATTTTAAAAATATTTAAGCTTTAATGATAACAAAAAAAATGGACTGGCATACATACAATTTCTGTACCTTGGTTTATGCAATACAATAACATACAGCAATCTGGGCCATTACACTTGCATCATTTCCTTAGAATATAAAGCAACATTAAATACAAGAATTTATTTTTGATTTGTTTTACAAAATATTTTTCACAAACATTAGCATATTCTGAGGAAAACATTCTTAAACTTTAAAATACTACACAAGAAAATGTTTGGCTCCCTTTTACTGCTGTTTTCAAAAGGAAAATGAGGAATGAAAATGTATCATACTATAAAGCGTCAATATTTACGACTTAATACCAATTAACATCAAGCCATCAGAACACCTTAGAATGTGAAAACAATAAACTCCAAGTTGCTGGCTTTATAAATAAGCTTTTGTGTGTTCACTATGTTTTAATTAGAATTGTTCTAAAATCTAACACATCTATAATGATAGCTTTGATATTACTCATGAAGAGTTTTTCGGTTAATTGGATAGGTACTAGCGTTCCCAGTTGACTGTTAGCATATAAGGCTCAAATGACATGATTTTTCAATTGATGTATGGCCAAACAGACCTGTTGTTTGTAACAATGTCTCTCACGGTTTTGGCACTTTGGGCACTTATTTGATTTTGACACATAATTAGCAACAACGAAGGTATACTTACAAACATTGTCAAACTGATGGCAGAAACATTTCAGCCTTGCATCATATGGGTTGACTGACTCTTTCAGCGTTTTTAGTCACTTGCTCACTACTTCTATGCTCTCATCAGTCTCTTCTCCAAAGGAGTTGGTCTCATGGTTCCATAGATTGTGATCATCGTCTGAAACCTCACTCAAGCAAACATTTGTGAATTTCAAAAATAAATGCTGGCTACCATTGTGTGGGAATGAAGGGCTGGAGGAGGATGCCTAAAACATCACAACTGTGATCTTATCCTACACAGTAATGACATTGAATTTATATTTGATCCCTTTCCTTCAAGCGTTGCTGAGGCCACTCATGGTAAACCCATTGTCTCAGAAAAGTTCAATGAACACATTCAGTAAACTAACATCACAGGACAAAAGGTAGTGCTGGACTTGTCAGTATTGTTGTCTTTTAGATCAGACTAAACTGAAGCTCTTCAGGTGGATATGAAAGATCCCTTAGCACCGTTTTGAAGGAGATTTTGCCTGATGTCCTGAGCAACACATCACTCAGTTAGCACTGCCAAAGTTAAGCTGTTTGTTCATATATCACACTACTGTTTGTCAGATCTTTGTGTTGTAAAATTGGTTGCTGCTTTTCCCTACCGTACAACAATGACTATCAAAATTATTTCATTGGTATTGTGAAATGTTTTGGGGGGTGTCCTAAAGTACTAGATAAATGCAAGTTTTTTTTTAAATGAAAAAAAAATTCAAAGCTGGATTTCGCAGGCTGTATGCCTCAGACCGTCCAACAGTAGACAGTTCCAATTACAGTATCCTAAAGACTTAATTAAATGGTCTTTAAAATATTAAAATGAGATAATTTATGTAACAACTGAAAATAATGCAGTTGCCTTCTGAATTGAATTGCAATTTTCAAGCATTACATATATTCCATTATCAGTTGTTCTGAAATGCAATCTTGTTGCACTTAGCATTTCAGAACATTTGCTAAGTGTCCTGAAATTACATCTTATTGTTTCCAAGAGTTCCCATTAGTGCTTCCAACTATTTTGTTAGGAACTGATTTTTTTTACTTTCTAATTGTTAAATTTAGGATTATACCATCTCAAATCCAAATTACAATTTATTTTAATATAACTATATCATATATTGGTTTTCATTCAGAAACTGTTTGCTACAAATTTCTGCAAATTTAAAGCCCCTCAGTTTATAAACATATCTGTCTTGAATAATTTTGAATTTTGTCTAAAGGCTTGTATTTGCAGTCTCTGATTTGGGTGCAGTGGGCTCAGACACAGTGTCTAGTTGTCCATCTCTGCAGAAGAGCACAGCTGGGTTTTTACAGGCCCACATTGCAACATCTCCATTTGCAGGGCTGGAGGAAGACATCCTGCTGCCAGAGCCTTGTCGACTGATGTACTGATCCCTTATTCTGTCCACCCTACTCCTGGCCTCATGGCTCTGACTGGACAGGTATGCTGCTATGTTTCTAGTCCTGTAGCCATCTTCTCTGTTCCTGCCCAAAAGAATGGAGATATTGGGGTTCCTGGTAGCATAGATGAGTGGATTCAGAGCTCCATTGGCCCATGCTAGCAAAATGGCTACGGTGTCCATGATGGGGGTGAAATGGAAATTGCCTGTGGCAGTGATGATGCCCATGATACAATAGGGGCCCCAGCAGCAGATGATGAAAACAATCATGATCAACACAGTTGTAGATGTCCTCATCTCACTGTAGAAGCGCAGTAGGTGGGCATAGGTGGTGACTGGGCGGACCCGGATCTCGGACAGCCTGACCGTCTTACAGATGTTGTAGTGGCAGAAACACATCAGAGAGAAGGGCAGAAGGTAGCAGACAACAATCAGGGTGATGCTGTAACTGGTGCCCATCCGGGAGCTGCCCGAGTGGAAGATGTACATGCAGTGGTAGAACCCCTTCTTGTGGACAACCAGTGGACCATTGGCTTGTGCCATGAGATACCAGGGAAAAGAGAAAAGGACTGCAATCAACCAGACGGCAACCAGTAGCTGGGTGGCCCTACGTCGCCCAATCTTCTCCTGGGGTTGCCTGACGATGGCATAGTAACGATCGAAGGAGATGAGCGTCATGGTGAGGGTGGAGATTATCCCAAAGCAAGAGTTGAAGAAGCCATTGGCAATGCAGAACCGGTCACCAAAGATCCAGACCCCCTCCTGCGTGAAGAGCATCATGAAGGAGAAAGGAACACAGAGCAGAGCGGTGAGAAGGTCGGACAGAGATAGTGACATGATGAAGGCATTGGTCACTGTCCTGAGCTGCCGGTGTTTGATGATCATCACTATGACCGCTGAATTGCCCAGACAGGAGAGCAGGAAGATAAGCAGGAGGATGAGAGCTTTGGAAGCCATGGCCATGCCGGGGAGCAGAGAGTTAGTGTCAGCCTGATTGCTGGGTCGATCCTGCAAAGAGACCCTGGTTCGGTTGCCAATGATGGTGGTCACGTTGATGGTGGTGTCTGAGCTGTTGGTCTCTGTGAGACTGTTGAACAGGGGAAGCTTGGTTGAAAGATCCATTGGACTGAACAACACCTCCGGGAAATGGATAATTCATCACTGGCCCTGCCTTAACTGTAATACACAGAGGTCAAACAAATTGGCTCCGTTGGCAGATGGACATCTAGTTCTAGCTCAGCTTTTACAGACTTGAGCAGTGAAATGTTCTTGCCAGTATCCCCATGGTGTGCAGAATTTCTGTGCATACCTTCCCACTGCTGTGTCAGTACCTCATTAATGCCAGAGGCAAACCCCTACTATTTAGAGTATTGCCATTTTATTAAGCACTCTGGTAATCAGAATAACACCAGCGCTGTGGGTTCGCATCCTGTTCTGACATGAGGTAGACTTGGGACCTGCCTCCTCATCCAGCCCAAGGGGGAGGCAATGAAAAACCACCAGTGACAGAAACTGCCAAGAAAACAGTTCAGGATGAAGCATCAGCAGATCCTGATGAGCCAAGGACCTGTCTTTGAGTAGAGCACACGTGAATGAATGAAGCATGATACAAAATAACAAGGCAACTTACATAAGTAGCTGGAGGTCCACGAACCTTCAGCCTAATCCCCTGCCCAGAGACAAATATAAAAAAAGTCACATGACCGGAGAATCACATGACCATGGCCATGACGCAGATAACACCCACCTACAATGAAATTGCAAACTGTACCAGGATGCTCCTGATGATCATTTGCTTTTTCTTCCCCCTTTCTGTTACAGATTTTTGTGGTGATCGGCGAGCCCTCTCTGCTATCGTTAACGCACTGAAATGTTTGACCATTGCGCACTTTGTCATGGGGAGGGAAGGCTGGTGTGAATGTGAAGGTTTAATCCGTCTCCCCACGTACAGAGCAGGAGGGGAGGGGACGGTGTTACAGGCTGCACAGTTGGAATCACAGAAACACCGGCTTTGTCTCAAACATTAGGCACTGATCCACGTTTTCTATCAACAGGCAAGTCAGCAAGGGTGACTAGCAATGGCTCAGTAACAGTGTAAGCACTGAACCCCACTGTTACAATGGGGTGTTAACAATCTGCGATTCCTTCCTGGTGCTGCACTGCCGCAGAGAGCGCTTCTGATGTGACAGCAGTCCAACTCTCTCACGTCTGCTATTCTTTGCGTGTGTTCACAGCAGAACCCTTGTCTTACTCCAGGAAGATGGTGAGCGTTTTAGGGGAATTCAATGACATTCACGATGTACAGCACCGTTTGCTGATTTTATGGTAAACTGAGTCGGTGTCTTTTAAAAAAAAAAGTGATCGAGGTTCCTGAAACTGCAAGATAAGGGGCAAGCTTCGACCTTGCACATTAGCAGACAAATAAAGACCGGAAACGTTAATCATGAAAAGATGTGTCTCTTTGTTTAGTGAAACTGAGAGGAACGCGTAAGTTCCACACTAGGCGCATCCCCGTAGTTTAAAATCTATTCCAAATGATTACAGACCTAAATAACGGTTAGAGGAAATACGCCAAACCTGTTCAATGCTGTGGATTGCCAGAACTATTCACAATCTTCGAATTCTTCAGTCGTACATCTTTGTGGATGAAATACTGCATTTTTGGTTTTGTTTGGAATTAACCATTTGCATTGTCATGAGTAGGAAAGGGGAGTCTAATCACAGATGTAATTTAATGACTGTAATAATTAATACAAATGTTGATCATACCAATGAGGAGCCGGTGTGGACCATACTATGGGATCCTACTCCTACTCAATACAGTCATGTATTCCGCTTCAATTTCACTGTCCTACTTACTCCCATATTCCTTCATTACCGGAGAGGCGAAAAATCTGTCTGTCCCGTTCCTAAATATATTCAACTATGAAGTACCCACAATGTTCCAGGGGTACAGAATTTCAAAGATTTGTAATCTTGAGTGGGAAAATTTCTTCTCGGTCCTCTATTTAACACTTCAAGCTTATGGAGTACAGATCATGTCCAGAAAGGTAAACAATCATGTTATCAGAAATATAGGCATTTCCAGAAACCAATTCAAAAACAAACTGACCAGGGTGAGGGAGTTGCAGTGATTAAGTTAAACAGCTGGCACATGATGAGCTGAGTGCCTGTTTCTATGTGATAGTTGGTTCAGTGTGCTAATGCTCGAGCCCCACTACTCCTGGGGTCATCAAAAATGTTAATAACTTTAGCAAATTATTCATAGTCTCCAATATTTCTGTCTGATTAACTCGGGTGAATCTCACGTTTCTGTACTTAAAAAAAGAAATTACTACTTATTGCAAAGAAAGCAATGCTAACTATAGACAAACAAAAGTACAGATGATCACTTTGCTAGCTGAAACTCTAACCTCTTCACCTCTAACCCCTACACAAACAAATATGACAGTTATAGACCACGAAAATAACAGGAAAATGCCGTTCAATAGCACCAGTCTATAGCATTCGATGAAAAGTCCCCTTCACTTCCTAAATCCTCGATCTCCAGGCTTATTCTTTGAGTTCTTTCAGATCATTACTGCAAACACAGTGTAACTAACACACAAACTTTCAGTCAATGGTTAGAGGCAACAGCTCATATCAGCTCGTGAAAAAGAATACGTGGCTATCTTCCAGGTTTTGGTTACTTCACTGTACTGAGAGAGACCTGTTTCAGATGCAGCCTGGAAGTTTCTCCACCTGTAATCCTAACACATTCTGTTACCTGCTGATGACTCATGGCCTCTCCAACTGCTCCCGATTGGTTTGGATAATTAGCAATCTGTCCTTGAATGAAGTTTACTCTGCATGCACCCAGAATGCTTTGGATCTGAGACACCTTCCCCATTATTAGAACAAGGCAATAGTGGAATCACAACTCGCTATGTCAGTTCTTACATGTGCAGCGACTGCTTCCACAGACCTTGGTTTACAGTAAAATCCTTTCCCTAATTTGTACCTCAATCCAAATTAAAAAAAAAACAAAAAGATGTGATTTTACGATGAAAGAAAAATCTTTTCTAATCCCAACTTTTGACATCTTCCACAGTTATCATACCCTCCTGATTTTTTAGGTATGCTTGACCTTTTAATGTTTATTTTCATGTCGCTCTACAATTTAAAAGGCTAATTGTGGGCAACATCTACTGGGACTTTCAGGTTATTGGGCAATCCCAGAACCTAGAGAGTCCACTGACTCTAACCTGGCTCTATATTTAAAATGCCATCTTTAGTTTTGTCTGAATATATAGTTAGGTTTATGTATTTAATTGCAATGACAAGTGAATTATTTCACGTACATTGAGTAGGGTGAGAAAGAAAAAGTAAACAAATACAACACAGTTCAGCAAGTGGAGTTGCTTAGAAACTCAGATCAGTAATTGTTAATCACAGAATTTTTTTACAGCACAAATATACGGTCCTTAGCATCTCAATTGGTTCTTTTGAATGAGCAACTCACCTAGTGCCACTTGCCTGCCTTCTCCCTGTAATCCAGCTCATTCTTCTTTCTCAATTAACAGTCTAATTCACTTTTGAAGCCCCAATTGAAATTGCATCCACCACACAGTGTATTCCAGACCAGAATCACTTGTGTGAAAGAATTTCCTTGTGTCACTTTTGCTTATTTTAATAATTACTTTAAATCTCTAATGGTATCCTTGAATAAATTGTTCTATTAGATTTATAGTTTTAGAATAATGTAATAGTAAACAAGTGATTTATCGAAGGTCTGGAAACCACAGCTGTCCCAACAGAAGCAGGAAATCATAGTGTTCTGTCTCAGTTGATTGCAGTAATTTGCTCGCTAGATTTTAGGTAGCGACTTCTTAACTTCCCAAAATGATGGCTATCACCTGACAAAGGGTCTACGCTCAGAAAGCTTGTGATTTGTGATAAACTGGTTGTGCTATAACCTGGTGTCATGTGACTTCTGACCTTATCCACTCCAGTCCAACACCAGCACCTCCATATTATATTTTGAAAGCAACCACACATTTACCATTTTGGGCATATGCTGATATTCTAAATTTGAAGGTGTTGGAGAAACTCAGCAGGTCTGGCAACATTTGTGTCAAGAGACGAACAGCACAGCCGTTTTAAGTCCAATATAACTCATCTTCACAACTGAAATGCGAAAGTAATGGTCTTTCACTCTATTCGCTAAGACAGTGTGCATTGTACCTCTTTAAAAAAAGTGAGTAATGAGAATTTCTGAGATAGTAGGAACTGCAGATGCTGGAGAAGCTGAGATAACAAGGTGTAGAGCTGGATGAACACAGCAGGCCAAGCAGCATCAGAGGAGCAGGAAAGCTGACGTTTTGGGCCTAGACCC